AAGATGAGGTAGCTGAGTACATCTGGATTTGTTTTTGTGTCTTCCAGCCTGTTCCACTGATCCTCAGGCCTGTTTCTTTGCCAGTACCATGCTGCTTTTATCACAGTGGCTTTGTAGTATAGTTTCAAATTGGGAATTGTTACACTCGCTGCCATGTGTCTGTTGCCTAGGATGGCTTTTGCTATTCTAGGTCTCTTATGGTTCCAAATGAATTTTTGAATTCTTTTTTCTAGTTCTGTGAAATATAGTGTTGGAGTTTCAATTGGCATTGCATTGAATCTGTATAGCAGTTTTAGTATTATGGCCATTTTCACTATGTTGATTCTTCCTACCCAGGAGCAGGGCATATCTTTCCATTTTTAAAATATCCTCTTCAATTTCTGTTTTCAGAGTGCTATAGTTTTCAGTGTAGAGATTTTTTGCTTCTTTTGTTAGATTGATTCCTAGATACTTCATTTTTCTGAAAGTTATTGTGAAAGGAATTTTTCCCTAATTTATCTCTCAGTGAGTCTGTTATTTGTGTATAAGAAGGCTATTGATTTTTGGGTGTTCACCTTGTATCCAGCTACTCTAGTGAATCTGTGAATTAAGTCTAGAAGTCTTTTGGTGGAGTTTTTTGGTTCTTCAATGTAGAGTATCATATCATCAGCAAATAATGACAGTTTAACTTCTGCCTTTCCTATCTTTATTGCTTTAATTTCTTTGTCTTGTCTGATTGCTGTGGCTAATGTTTCCAGAACTATATTAAAGAGGAGTGGTGATAGTGGGCATCCTTGTCTTGTTCCTGATTTTACTGGGAAGGTTTTCAGTTTTTAGCCATTTAATATGATGTTGGCTCTTGGTTTTTCATAGATAGCCTTTATTAAGTTGAGGTATAGACCATCTATTCCAATTTTTTGCAGGGTTTTTATTATGAATAGGTGTTGAATTTTATCAAATGCTTTTTCTTCATCTATCGAGAGGATCATATGGTTTTTGTCCTTGACTCTGTTAATATAATGTATTACATTTATTGATTTTCGTATTTTGAACCACCCTTGCATCCCTGGAATAAATCCGACTTGGTCAGGATGTATGATCTTCTTGATAATCCTCTGTATTCTGTTTGCTAGTATCTTATTAAGGATTTTTGCATCTATATTCATTAAGGAGATTGGCCTGTAGTTCTCTTTTTTAGTTGTGTCTTTCCCCGGTTTGGGAATCAAAGTAATACTTGCTTCCAGGAAAGAATTTGGCAGTATAGCTTCCCTTTCAATTTCATTGAAAAGTTTGAAGAGTAACGGCAGTAGTTCTTCTCTAAATGTCTTGTAAAATTCAGCAGTGAATCCATCAGGGCCTGGGCTTTTCTCTGTTGGTAAATTTTTAATTACATTTTCAATTTCACTGACTGTAATTGTTTAAAATGTTTTTATCTTCTTTGCTCAACTTTGGTAATTCATAAGTATCTAAAAATCTGTCCATTTCTTCTGTGTTTTCCATTTATTGGAGTACAGGTTCTCAAAGTAGGTATTAACGATCCTCTAGATTTCTTCTGGATCTGTTGTGACTTTGCCTTTTTCATTCCTGATTGCATAGATCTGAGCCTTTTCTTTCCTTTTTTGGATAAGATTAGCTAAGGGTTTGTTGATTTTATTTATTCTTTCAAAAAAACCAGCTCTTTGTTTCATTTATTTTTTGTATCATTTTCTTAGTTTCCATTGCATTGATTTCTGCTCTAATCTTTATAATTTCCTCTCTTGTTCGAGCTTTGGGTTTTTCTTGCTCTTGTTTTTCTAGGAGTCTAAATTTCATCATTAGGTTGTTTATTTGAGCCCGCTCTGTTTTCCTAGTGTGGGCATTCAATGTTCTGAATTTTCCACGTAGAACTGCTTTCATTGTGTCCCATAGATTCCTGAGTGTTGTATTGGCATTTGCATTTATTTGTACAAACTGTCTAATTTCTTCTTTAATTTCCTCTGTAATACATTGATTGTTTAGGAGAGTGTTGTTCAGTTTCCATGTGCTTGTGAAGTTCCTACAGTTTCTTGTGCTACTGATCTCCAGCTTGATTGCACTATGATCTGATAATATACAGGGGATGACTTCAATTCTCTTGCATTTATTCAGACATGTTCTGTGGTCCATCTTGGAGCATGATCCATGTGCAGCCGAAAAGAATGTATATTCTGATTTTGTAGGGTGGAATACTCTGTAGACATCTATTAAGTCCATGTGTTCCAAAGCTTGGTTCAGTTCTATTATTTCATTGTTGATTTTCTGCCTAGATGATCTATCTATTTGTGATAGTGGGGTATTTAAATCCCCCAGTAAAATTGTATTAGTGCTTATTTGGTTTTTCATGTAACTTAATATTTGTTTTATATAGTTGGGGGCATTTATATTTGGTGCATATATGTTTATGATTGTCATCTCTTCCTCTTTAATTGTTCCCTTTACAAGGATGTAGTGGCCTTCTTTGTCTCTCATAATGAGTTTTGGTTTGAAATTTACTTTGTCTGCGAATAAGATTGCTACCCCTGCTTTCTTATGGGCTCCTGATGCATGGAGAATTGTTTTCCATCCTTTCACTTTCAGTCTATGGGCATCCTTTTGCACTAGGTATGTTTCTTGTATACAACATATTGTTGGATTTTGCTTCTTAATCCATTGTGCCAGTCTATTTCTCTTGATTGGTGAATTGAGGCCATTAACACTGATGGTTATAACTGATATGTTCTGACTTATTGTCATGTTATTGTCCTTTTGTTGACTCTTTTTACCTTTTTCTCCCCTCTCCTTTTAGTTTCTTGCCTTGAGTATTTGAGTTGCTCTGTTGGGCCTCATGGTATTGTGAGCTTCATTGTCCTTTTCTAGGATATTGTTTAGAATTCCTTTTAGTGCTGGTTTGGTGTTCATGAAGTTTCTCAGGTGGTCTTTGTCATGGAAGTATCTTTTTCCCCATCTACTTTGAAAGAGAGTTTTGCAGGATACATCAGTCTAGGTTGCAGTTGTTTTCTTTTAGGACTTGAAATACTTCACTCCAGACTCTCCTTGACCTAAGGGTTTCTGTTGAAAATTCTGCTGTGATTCTAATGGGCTTTCCTTTGCATGTGATTTGTTTCTTTTCTCTTACTGCTTGTAGTATTTCGTTCTTCTGTTGGATTTCTGGGATCTTGATTATTATATGTCTAGGTGTAGATTTTTTTTTTTATTGTGGCTAGTTGGAGTTCTATATACCTCAATTATCTGTATGTCTAATTCTTCCCTTCTGTTTGGTAAGTTTTCTGTCATTAATTCTGTGAAGAGCTTTTTTAAATCATTTGTCTTTTCTCCTGCTATATCATGGATTCCTATCAGTCTTATGTTATTTTTCTTTGCATCATCTAGAAGTAGTTGGATCGATTTCTCATGATTCCTTACTGTTTTTGAGGGACCTCTTTTTTCACGGTCACTAACTGCGATCCTATCTTCTATATCTGAAATTCTATCTTCGCAATCTTTTATTCTGTTGTGTACACTTTAAATAGTGTTTTTAATCTCCTGAATATCTGTTTGAATCTGTTTTATGGATTCCATTTATTTCCTCTGTTGGGCATTCATTGTTTCCATTTCTTTCTTATGCTGAGTCTTCATGGCTTCTATCATGGTCTTGAGCTCAACTTTTTTTTTTTGTTTTCTTTTGTTTTTTGTCAGTTTCTGTTCTAGAGTCTCTAATCATGATTTCCATTTTGTTCATCATCTCTATGGTTAACTGGGAAATTATTTCTCATCTGAATTTTTCTAGAGCCTGATTGATCTGTTTTGTTACCTCCTGTGCTATGGGTCCAGGGTGTCCTGCTGCTTCACTATTAGATTTTTCATCCTCATTTGCCCTACTGTTTGCCTTTGGTGAACTGGAAGTCTGTCTTTGTGTCTTGCTTAAGTGTTTTCTCATTTTTATTTTTGTTGTTGGGTTGTCCTTGGTTTAATTTCTGGGTTATTATTTAAATCTTCCTGATATAGTTGCGTTTTAGCTTTTGACTCTCTAATGACTCATAGACATTTTCATAATATCAGAGAAAACAACTCATTAAATCAATCACAATCCTTTATCCCAATAGATACATTCAGCAGCCCAATAGGATCAAGCGCAGCTCACAAATTGACCACTTGTGGTAGTCATTAATCTATCACCTTTAAACCATGTGAATTAAATTAATATCAAGAAGCAGCCCAAAATATGTTTGCAGTGAATACGCTTTTCAATATAGCATCTTTACCATTTAGGATGGGGGGTTAGACTGAGTTAGGATGAGAGGAGTAGATAAGTGAAAGAGTTGGAGAAGGTTTGAAGTGAAACCAGAGGATGTAGAATGATCATACTATCTTTATGAAACTATTAAGTTCAAAGGGGATAGACAGAGTGCAGGAATAAGGACAAGAATATATCCCCTTAACAGTAACAGGGGCTTTCCTTCCCTTGAAGCTATGGAGCCATGAGTGAGGTAAAAAGGCAGGAGAAAAGAACATAAAGAAAAAAAGAAAAAAGAATAAAAGAAGAAGTCTGAGTTAGGGCAGGAGCAGGAATAAAAAGGGAGATGAGGGATAATATGTTGGAACAAGAGACTGAGTTGGAGAGGACAGAAAAAAGAAAGCAATTTTAGGGTGAAATGAGGAAAAGAAAAAAAGAATTTGAAGGGCCTCTTTCAGACTATGTCTCTGTTGTCATATTATACCATGTGTACAGCCATGTGCAGAACCAAATCTCCTGATCTCAGCTAGCCAATGGCAGGTCCCTGCAAATCAGACTGACCTCAGTCCACAGGCCCAAATTGTTTTGCAACCAGCAGGGTTGAACTCCACTTAGTTATATTACAGGATGCCACTGCCCTTTCTTTAAAGATGTTCAAAGTTGGAAGCTCAGAAAAATACCCTTCATGCCCACCTATGCCTCTGCAGAGTGGGTCCAAGGATTGACCCAATCAGGAGTTTTGAGAACAGGGCAGGTGGGAGGTTGTGGGGGTGTTCAAGGGCGCCCTTACCTTCCTTACTGGATCTGGCAGCGCAGTTGGGGAGGTCGCGAACCCGCCAGGTGGGCCCAAGCAGGTGGCTGCAGAGACCTCTTCCAGGGTCCTTGCCTCCTTACTCTCATTCTGTTTTTCTGAAATGGGAATTCACCATTATAAATTTCCCTTGCAGCACTGCTTTCATTACATTTCATCAGCTCCTGTATGTTGTACTGGCATTATTATTAAATTATATAAAGTATATGATTTCTTCTTTAATTTCATCTGTGACCCATTGGTTATTCAAGTAGGTGTTAATTTTTATGTGTTTATGAAATTTTTGTGGTTTCTTTTGCCATTGATTTCCAGTTTCATTGCACTGTGATCCAGTAATATGCATGGGATAATTTTTATTCTTTTGCATTTACTAAGCATGTTATATGAGCTAGTACGTGATCTGTTTTGGAAAATGTCCCATGTGCACCTGAGAATTTTTATTCTGATGTTGTAGGATGAAATACTCTGTAGATATCTACTAAGCCCATTTGTATAAAAGTTTTAGTTTGCTTCTGATATTTCTTTATTAATATTTTGTCTAGCTGATCTATGACAGTGAAGTACTGAGTCCTCTACCCATTACAATTGTATTAATGCTTATTTTATTTTTCATGTCCATTGATATTTGTTTTATACATTTGAGTGTGCTAGTATTTGTTGCATATATATTTATGATAGTTAGCTCTTCCTCTTGGAGTCTTCCCTTTACAAGGATGTAGTGACCTTCCTTGTCTCTCTTAATCAGTTTTGGCCTGTAATCCACTTTGTCTGCAAACAGAATAGCCACCCCTCCTTTTTTCTGGATTCCTATATCAGGGAGTATTGTTTTCCATCCTTTGACTTTCAGTCTATGCATTTCTTTTTTAATCAAATGTGTTTCTTATATGCAGCACATTGTTGGATCTTGCTCCTCAATCCATTTGCCAGTCTGTTTCTTTTGGTTGGTGAATTGAGACCATTTACATTGATGGATATAAGTGACATGTATTGACTTATCCTTGTCATGTTATTTTCCTGTTGCTGTTTCCCTTTCTTCCCCATCCACCCCCAATTAATTACTTGCCTTGCCTGGTGTTATGTTTCATTGAGTTATAGTCCTCATTATCAATTTCTAGAATGTTCTTCAGAACATTCTGTACCGGGGCTTAAACTTGGGCCCTTGCCCTTGGGAGGCAGGTGGCAGAACCACTGAGCTAAATCCCTGGCATTTCAGAACATTTGGAGTGCTAGTTCTGTGGTCATGGATTTCTTCAGGCATTCTTTGTCATGGAAGTATTTTATTTTTCCATCAATTTTCAAATATAGTTTTGCAAGGTCCATCAATTTTGGTTGGAGGTTCCCCCCTCCCCGCCTTTAGGACTTGAAATATTTCATTCCAAGCTCTCCTTGACTTGAGGGTTTATGTTGAGAAGTCTCCTTTAATTCTGATACACTTTCCTTTATAGGTTATTTATCTCTTTTCTTTAATATTCTGTTCTTATTTTGAATTATGCTTTGATGTAGTTTTTATCGTGGCTAATTGTAGTTCTATATGCCTCACTTATCTGTATGTCAAATTCTTTTTCCATGCTTGGGAAATTTTCTGCCATTACTTCTATGGACAGATTTTTTATGTTTTTTCTACTATCACCTGCTTTTTCATTGACTCCAGTCAATCTTATGTCATTCTTTGCATAATCTAGCAGCTCTTGAATTGATTTTTTGTTGTCCCTTGCTATTTCTAAAAAGTGTTTCTTTTTATGATCACTAACCACAAATCCTGTCTTCTAGATCTACTATTCTCTCCTCACATTGGTTCATTGTGCTTCATATACTTTCAGTGGAGTTTTTAATCTCATGGGTATCTGTTTAAATCTGTGTCATAGATTCCATTTATTTCCTAAACTGGGCATTAATGGTTTCCCTGATTTTCCTAAGCTTAATGTATGTCAATCTTTTTCCATGCTTGGGAAATTTTCTGCCATTACTTCTATGGACAGATTTTTTATGTTTTTTCTACTATCACCTGCTTTTTCATTGACTCCAGTCAATCTTATGTCATTCTTTGCATAATCTAGCAGCTCTTGAATTGATTTTTTGTTGTCCCTTGCTATTTCTAAAAAGTGTTTCTTTTTATGATCACTAACCACAAATCCTGTCTTCTAGATCTACTATTCTCTCCTCACATTGGTTCATTGTGCTTCATATACTTTCAGTGGAGTTTTTAATCTCATGGGTATCTGTTTAAATCTGTGTCATAGATTCCATTTATTTCCTAAACTGGGCATTAATGGTTTCCCTGATTTTCCTAAGCTTATCTATTTTTTAAAAAATTATCCCATATCTTCTCTAGAGCCACTAAGCATGTCTTTCATTATCATCACCATCTCTGTAGTTAGCTGAGGAATTATTTCTTATTTGATTTTTTTTCTACAGACTCATTCATCTGCTTTGTTGCTTCTGTTGTTACCACTTCAGAGAGTCCAGAAGGGTGGCTTTTGAATTGCTCTACCTCATTTCTTCTTGAATTTGCCTTTGGTGAGCTGAAAATCTAGGGTGGCATCTTGCTGATGTAATTTCTCATTGTTTGCATTTTTTGGGTTTTTTTTGTTCATTTAATTCCTGGGTTGCTTATAGATTTCTTATGGCAGGTAGCTTTACTGCTAATATATAGAACACTTAGGAAATGACTGCTTCACAGAGATGTGTTCCAGGTATTGCTGGCTTTGGCATTTTGAGTCAGTTGCAAGATCTTACCTCTCCAATTTATTTGGCTAGCCTCTGGTTCTTTGGCACTGGTCTATAGTATTGTTTATGACCCTTAGGTAATCTGTTTTGGAACAGAAGGAAGAACAACTGATTAGAACAACTATGTCACCTTGCTGAAGTAGTACAATCAGTAATAACAGTAGCATCAAACACAGCCTAGAAAATGACAAACTGGCAACTATTAATTTGCCACCTTTAACCATGTGAACTTTATTTGAGATTATATAACAAAATCTAAAGCAAACTAGAAAACTGTATACAGTAAATATGCCCTCAATATGGTTAGTTTACCCTTGGGAGAAAATTTAAAAGAGGTTGGGGGGAAATGGAGAAATAGAAGAAAAGGAATAGACTAGAAACAAGACTAAAAGACAAAGGAAGGTTATGCAAACATTGGGAAACTGGTGAAAAAGAGAGAAGAAATAAAAACTAGAACAGAGGGCCAGGGATTTAGCTCAGTAGTGTTATGCCTGCCTGGAAGCACAAGGTCCTGAATTCAATTCCTGGTACAGAGAAACAATGGACACACTCATATAAAACAAAAACAAACAATTTTTTTAAAAAAACAAGAAAAAAATGTCCACTCCATGTTTTGTCTCCACTGTCACTGGTAAACAGAGTGGGCAGATAGAGCCCAGATCCATGTTGATTAACCTCACAAGCCAACTGTAGATTTACAGCTGGGGTATTGGATAATTCCCAACAAACCTGCACCTTTAGTTCCACTGAAGTCCAGGCTTGTTTCTAGCCATGAGGCTTAAACCTGATTTGTTCAGCCTTCAACCTTCCATGTGCCTCTTGCCAGCTTGAATCTGGCTCCTTGATCTTTGACTTGAACTTGGTTCCATCTCACCCTGACATTGTGAGCTATTAGATGGGCCAGCTCAAAGCTGCTCTGAGTTCCAAGCTCATTTGGCCCCTCTCCAAGATGACTACCAGCCAATCTCCTTCTCCTGGGGGACATCTGAACCTGAATAATTCACCAGCCACTGCAGTCTTCTTTGTCCACTGCTCCCTTCCACTGGTGTGTTTCTCTGTGGAGGCCTCTGGGGTTACTAGTAGTCACTGTCTGTCTGCAAGTTCAAGTTGCCCCTCCCACACTATGGGTCATGGCTTAGGAAGTATGTGTCAATTTGTCTCCTTCTTTTACATTGAGGTCTTTCTCTTCACTGTCCCTGTGGGCTTCAGTTCTCATTTCAGATCCTTGCTGGGTCCTGGGGACCCACTTCCCTCTTCCTTCCCTTCATCAGGTTGCTATATTCCAGCATCTGGATAGTGAATCTCAGACTGTTTCTCTGCAGTCCACCACTCTGCCATCTTTTCCATGTAGCTCTTTTTTTTTTATCAAGTTTAACCAGTCTCTCAAGTCATTATATACTAGACACCTTTCTTTATTCTGGCATGAGTATTCTGTATAAGAGACATTATCAAAAACCCCAGCCTTGGGTCTTGATCTCCTACAAGACAGTACAACATCCATGAGATAAGAGAGAAAGAATAAAGACACAGAGACAGAGACTGAGAGAAGCTGGGTCTTGGCTGATCTAAGCTGCTTTAGGCAGCAAAGACAAAGACACCAAGGACATCCAGTGTTTATTCATTACAAGTCGGGGAAGGAGGGGAACTGGGCAGGCCTCAGGACACCTGCTAATAACAGTATAGCACGCAGGGGCACTAACCTATATTTTATAGGAGAGAACAAATGGTTAATTCAGAGGGGAAAAATTTAGTTGGAGTCAGTTGATCTTGGCTGAAAGTGAACTCAGCTGAGCCCTGTTACTTTTAATGTAATATAGCTGAATTATGGAGGGACAAGAAGCTTATGCCACTTATTGCCTGCTAATGCCATCAGAGATATCTACTATGATTTGGTATATTATTCATTAAATATTTTGTAGTTTAACATTTTTCAAAATAAAAAGTAGAGGAATAACAATGAATGCTTCCCTCTGCTCCCACATCCACTCTGCAACCAACTGCTTCTGCTCATAGTATATGTCTTGATTCTGACCTTGCCTTCTCTATTATCACTGTTAATGTCCTAAATTCAAATTCTAAACACCTCCTATCTCAACTAGCCTATGTATCCCATACTAAGCAACACTGTCAGATTGCTCTCTAGCCAACTGAAACCTCTTGTTGATGAAAGTTCAGGTGTCTTGTATCTATCACGCCAAATCTAGACTTTCTAACCTGGGATTCATTTCCACCTTCTTCCTCTACTCTTCCTTCAATCTCATCAATTCTCATATCTTCTTAATGCTCTATCTGGCTCTGAACTATAGTTTTCTAAACATTTGCATCATCAGGCATTTCCTTTCAACCCCTCCACTTCGTATAGCTTCCCTTTAATTTCACCCATCAGATTCCTATTCACCCTTCAAAATCCATCTCAAAGGCAGCCTCCTTTAAGGAACCTAACTAAGCTTGTTTTAGTTTCTGGCTAGAAGTGATCTCTTTCCTTTGAACATCTAAAGTATAAAGTTCTTGGCCCCCTTGTGCCATTTAATCATATCTGCCTTTGGACTCCTCCTCAGGAGGATTTTTAGGGTGTATTTAAAGTGTGCATTTCTTTCCATCAGAGTGAAACATGTCTAAATGTTTCCATCTCCCTGCCATCTCTTTTTTCCCCAACCTACGTACTACATAAAGAATTCTGCACACACTGGGTAGTTTCAGATGATCCGATTACTTCCCAATAATTTTTCCATTAAAATTTCCCAATAATAATTCCATTAAAAGGAAATTATACTCCACCAAGAGAAGAATTTGTAAATCACAGAGGATCCCAAACAGACCATTTGTGCAAAGTCTTTAGGCTCAAGACTCAGAATTCAAAGAGGCACGTCTCTTCAGAGGTCTAAATTAGTTGTAAAAGAAATATCAAAAAGTTGGAGCCAAACTCTGGAAGATTGCAGAACCCCTGGACTGTCTCTGCTGACAGTGACCAGTGTGGAACAGAGCTAGAGAAGCCCAGGGAAACAGCAGCCATCTTCTGAAGTAAGAGCTAATCAAGTGTGTCCATAGAGATGATGGTATTTTTTAAAATTTCCTGAGTGATCTTCTAATTTATAGGGAGAGGGAATCTACAATGTAATTTAAGAGTTATCTAGCATCTGGATAGCAAATCTCAGACTGTTTCCCAAGTTCATATACTTCTGACAGAAGAAATGAGCAGTTTCTCTGTACTGGATCAAATGGAGAGTCCCAAAATACACATCTGCCTGGACATGAGGACCTTTGTAGAGGTAACTAGTTAAGATGAGATCAAAATGATTAGAAAGCTCTAAATCCAATGATAGGTGTTTTATAAGATAAAGCAGAGAATGATTCAAACAGAGCCACATAGGGAAGAAGGTCATGTGACAATGGGATCAGATAATAGAATGCTGCAGCTACAAGCTAGGGAACACCAAAGATTGCTGGGAACTACTGGAAGCTAGAAAGACAAGGAAGGATTCTTCCCTAGAGCCTCCAAGAAAGCACGGCCCCGCCCACACCTTGATTTTGCATTTTAACCTCCAGAACTGTGAGAATACATTTATTTTTGTTTTAAGCTCTATAACTGTGGTAATTTGTGACAGCAACCCTAGAAAACTAATACATTTCTTGTTCTAATTTTCCAATCACCAAATTCTTTGTATCAACTACTAAGTGCAACATACTGGTAGAGGGAATACATATATATATATATATCCCAAGTGCTTTGAGACACAAAATTAGGAGTTGGGGATGGTATCAAAATAGAATTTGAGGGGCTGGGTATTTAGCTCAGCGGTTCGGTGGCCTGCCTTGCAAGCACAAGGACCCGAGTTCAATTCCCGGTACCAAAAAAAACAAAATAAAATTTGAACTATGCTCAAAAAGGTAGAGTGCCAAGCAAAAACAATAGCATATGTTAAGATTTGGGAATGAAAGAAAATACTAAGTTTAAAGATTAGTGAAAAAAATTAAATGTGAAATGTATGCTCCATGTGGGCAGGAAACAGTATATGGCAGAAAAACAGAGGAAAGCCAGATAATGAAGGGACTTAAAATCTACACTTGGGATTTTAGACTTTATCCTACAGAGAAAACAAGTTTATTTTCAAGGAAATTCATTTTGAGAGCAGTTTGGAGAACAGCTGGGGGAGGTGCTAGTAGCATATAGATTGTTATTTTTTGGATCAGGAATGTACGCCCCCAGGCCCTATGTTAAAGGTCTGGGCCTGCGATCACCCGGCGGCGTGCGCGCGAGCTCCCGGCCTGCGCGACAACAGACCCAGGAAGGAGACTTAAAATACACTTGTGATTTTAGACTTTATCCTACAGAGAAAACAAGTTTATTTTCAAGGAAATTCATTTTGAGAGCAGTTTGGAGAACAGCTGGGGGAGGTGCTAGTAGCATATAGATTGTTATTTTTTGGATCAGAGGTGTG